AGAAGGGGCAGAAAGATTGTAAGAGGCAGAGCTTATACTGAGTTCAATATTGTGTAACTGTATTCATTGAACAGCAAACCTAAAAATTTTATAGCCACGTTTGAAAGAGATGTATCTTTGCTCTGGAAACTGTTATTGAGTATGTTAAGGCTGTAATGAAATACTTCTAAACAAATTTTGAAAAATAAGATTTTTTAAAAAAATTTAAAAGAAAAAAAAAGTTGGGCAGGGCCACATGTGTCTGTAACCCTAGTATTTGGGGACAGAGACAAGAGGATCCCATGAGCTCACTGATCAGTCAGATTGGTTGAAATGTTGAGCTTCAAGTCCAGTGAGATACTCTGTCTCAAGGAATAAGTCAGAGAGTGGTAAAGTAGGACACACAATGTTCTCTGGCATCCATAAATACAAGCACTCACACCTGTGTACACACACACACACACAGAGTCTTTAGGGGGAGAGGCAGGTAGGGTAGTTCTCTATATGTTTGAGGCTAGCCCGGTTTACACAGTGAGTTCCAGGCCATCCAGGACTACATAGAGAGAAACTTTCTTGAAAGAAAAGAAAAGAGAAGAGAAAGAAGGAAGGAAGGAGAGAGAGAGAGAGAGAGAGAGAGAGAGAGAGAGAGAGAGAGAGAGAAATAAAGACAGACTTGGGGCTGGAGAGATGTCTCAGTAGTTAAGAGCACTGGGTGCTCTTGTAGAGTACCAGAGTTTGGTTCCCAGTACCCACAGTTCACAACCACCCTTAACTTCAGTCCCAGGGGATCAAATGCCCTCTCCTGGCCCCCTCAGGCATTGCATGCATGGGCACACTTAAATATATGCAGGCAAAATACTCATACACATAAAAATAAATTTTAAAAAATTTGGAAGGAATGCACTTTAGAACCTAACTCATCTAACACTTCCCTGATCTCAGCTGCACACAATGAAACAGTGGTCCACATAAGGAAAAGGGTTCACCCATGGTTGCCCAGTATTTCCAGGGCCAATCTGAGATTAGAACCAGGAGTCCTAACTCTCTAGCAACAGGGAAGTGGGGAGAGGGGATGAACAGATGTCTTGAGAAGTATGTGCACAGGAGAAAAGTCAGGATGAGAGGGCTGCAGGACTCTGAGGGAGGTGAGGTTGGACCCTGGGAGCACACCTCTTTGCAATGAGGTATGCTGAGCATGTAGCTGCCTTAGAAGACTCCAGAAGGAACAAGCATCTGTGGAAATGCATTCCTTGTGCACTGACCCACCACCCTTCCCATGTGTCCTCAGAGACTCCCCTCTAATACACCATTGCTGCCTAAGAGATCTCACCATCTGAGTCTCTGTACACCCTCCAGCCCTACACAGACTCCACCCACTCCACAGAACCTCTATGAACCCCTACCCATGGCTCCCTCTTCAGAACTCTCTCCCTGGAACCTGCTTTCCTGTATGTGGCCCAAGGCTTACTCTTTTTAAATTTTTTGTTTAATTTTTGAGATATGGTCTTGCCATGTAGCCCAGGCTAGCCTTGAACTCTCTATCCTAATGCTTCTGCCTCCTAAGTTTTGGGATTACAGATGTGCACCACATGCCCAGCCCAATCTCTTTCTATGTGTCATTATTTCTGTTCAGGCTTCATGTGCTAGAGCATGAGTGTGCATGTACACACGCAGGTGTGTATATATAGGAAAGTCACTGATCTGTTCTAATCAGTGTCTTTCTCTATAAAATGGGCTGATAGAAGGATAGACAGATAGGGTCTGGGTGTGCCCTGGCCCACTTACATCTCCTTGAAGGTCAGGATCTGGGCTGTGTCCCAGGAAATGCTCCTGGATTAAGGAGGCAAGAAGCAGCTGTCAGTAAAGGGCTTCAGATAAATGAGAGGAGGCCTCTGAGGCCAGTTCCGGCCCAGAGCTGAGTCAGCAAGGATACAAGGCAGGGAGAAGAGGGAAGCAGAGCCTCCATGCCTCAGATTCTGTTACTAACACCAGCAGCAGTCAGGCTACCTGGGACGGGAACTGCAGCTGACACAGGGTTGATACCGTCAGGGCTGTGGTGGAAGTTATGGGCCTCCACTCTAGCCCCTGAGATCCTTCATCCCCTTTCTCAGGCAGCAGTGGGCACACCCAGCTTTCTGCTGGGCACCCCCAGAATTTGTTTCCTCGATGTTTTTCTTGCCACTTCAATAGTTACACAGATTTCAACTACCAATTCACAATGGAAAAAGCAGATTACAAAACTTCAAGCATTGAATTTTAAAAAGAGATGCCCTGGCCAGGCATGGTGGTGCACACCTTTGATCCCAGCACTTGGGAGGAAGAGGCAGGTGGATCTTTGTGAGTTCAAGGCCAGCCTGGTCTACATAGTGAGTTCCAGGACAGCTGGGGCTAAAGAGAGACCCTGTCTCAAAAAGACCAAAAAGAGAGAAAAGACATGATTTTAAGAGAGAGAGAGAGAGAGAGAGAGAGAGATGCCCTTTGGGGCTGGAGAGATGGCTCAGCGGTTAAGAACACTGGTTGTTCTTGCAGAAGACTCAGGTTCAAATCGCAGCACACACATGGCAGCTAACAACTGTTTGTAACTCTGGTTCCAGGGGATCCTATGGCCTCTTCTGACCCCCGCGGGCCCCCCGCGGGCATTGTGCAACACGGGTGCACTTATCTACACGCAGATAATACATGCATACACATAAAATAAAAAAATAAATAAAATTAAAAGAGGAGAGAGAGAGAGAGAGAGAGAGAGAGAGAGAGAGAGAGAGAGATGCCTTTTACACATCTACCAAGAGTGACAGGCTCATCTCTTGGGGGCAAAATGAGGTAATTTGGCTTTTGCTTTTCTGCTTTTCTGTATTTCATAACTTTTTTTAAAGAATTAATATGGGCTACTTAGATAACACACTAATGTACTTTTGTTTATTTTGTGTTGCTGGAGAGCAAATCCAGGGCTTTCTGCATGTTAGGCAAGGGCTCAGTTACTCAGCTCCATTCTCAAACCCTGTGGTCTCTAAGATTTTTAATTTATTTTAAATACGTTATTATTTTATGTGCATGAGTGTATTGCCCGAATGTATGTAAGTGCACCCATGTCATGCAATGCCCACAGACATCACAAGAGGGATCCCCTGGAATTGGAGTTACAGATGGTTGTTAGCTGCCATGTGTGTGCTGGGAAATGAACCCGGGTCCTCTGCAAGAGTAGCCAGTGCTCTTAACCGCTGAGCCAGCTCTCCAGCTCCTCTAATATTTTTTAAAGATTTATTGTAAATTATGTGCATGTGTGTGTTGGGGGGGTGTGCACATGAGT